ACATTTTCTTTTTTAAATAAAAATATTTTTAGTTTCTATTGATTATGTCACTCTTTGGACCTTTCATTTTTCATTTCTGTATTTTAGATTTTCGAAGTGCTTTGCTTTCGTTGCAGGAAAATTGCACTCAATTTTAAAAGTGTACCTAATTTAGGCTAGGAAAAGTAGTAATATTTTAAAAGATGGTAAATTTATGATGAAAACAGTTTTTAAAAATTCATATGCATGGAAAATACAGTCCTAATGAAACACTTTTTGCATATATTACATTTATTACATTTTTAAAATTCTGTAAGCCATTTCTGTATTGTCAAGATAGAAATATATATTTTGGAAAAGCTAGTTTTAATGTATTTTCTATAAGGCTGTGATTTTGTTTTTATTATTTTATTGTATTTTTTTGGACTGGTGGCAATTTGTAGTAACACATGCTGCCACGAGCAGCTTCCTAAGCAAAAAGTTAATCATACAGTTTATGAAGGACCCAATGATCATTGCTGACATTTTCTGCCTATTTTGTTTACATCACCAAAAATTCCCACTCAGAAAATGATAATAGAGTTGGAAATACATTGTTTCTTTTTCACTTCTGTGGAGCAGAAAGATAATCCCTACTTTGTTCCTGCCTGGGAATGTTTTATAAAATCACCAGGCAGAGGCTGCACATCAGAGACATGATTATGATTGTGATGAGAAGAATTATGAATAGTAAATAGTGCAAACCACACTCACTGTCTACTTCCTATTTACTGAGCACTATCTGGTAGCATAGTGCCTAAGGCACTTGACTGCTCACCAGAAGGCTGGCGGTTCAAACCCACCAGCCACTCCTCGGAAGGAAGGTTGGGCAATCCTACTTCCGTAGTGATACTGCCTCGGAAACCCAAGGAGGGGTCGCTATGAGTCGGGGCCGACTCGACGGCAAAACAACAACAACAACAACAAATCATAAACTTAACTTTGGTTGTCTTGAGCACATAGCAAGTAGGCACTGTCATCCTTCTCATTTTACAGATCAGGAAACTGAGAATTTCACATGGCTTCTGAGTGGTGGAGCTTAGATGCAAAGTCAATACAGTGTGATCCCAAAACCTGATCTCTCTGCTATGCTACTCAAAGATTCAGGCCTATTGTGTCTATACCATTCTTCCTACACTTACTAGGCTACTCTAGTATGCCAGGAATTTGGGATAAAACAAAGCAAAACTAGCCATGCCCCCTGCCTTGTGAGGATATGGTTTAATGGGGAGAGGTAGTCTTTAACCAAATAACCAGACAAATAGATGTGTCAATTACAAATGTGATAGGATAGACTGAGAAGTACATGACCATTGTGAGATCAGATATAGGGAAACTGACCTCATCAATTCAGAATGGCATCCCTAAGAAAGGAACACTTAGACTGAGATCTAAAGGATAAGCAAGGTTGAACTAGGCAAGGAGTTAGAGAGGAAATTCCTAGGCTCAATGAAAGTAAGTAAGAAATCAGGATAGCAGGGATGTGTTCAGTAACTGAAAGGAGCCCCGTATGCTGGAGGGCAGAGAGTATAAGGGAGACAAGGAGGCACTGGGAAGATGATAACAGGAGTGGAGGTCCAATTTATGTTAAGGGGAAAACAAAATGGTAGTGGGAGGAGAGGCTTTGTGTGTGTACATGTGCTGTGTGGAGGGAGACATAATTGTTGTATGGAGAGGGACATAATTATATTAGGCCATCTGATATATAGAAACTTGCTTAAAGGGCATTAGCTGCTGTTTTGCCTCACCAGTACAAATATTTGAAACTTCTGAAATTTGATTCTTCCTCATAACAGATGGGAATGAGTACATGACTTTATACTTTGAGGAATTCAGGAAGCCAGTAGGAGTGGATAATAACTTATCAATATTATTATTGATAATAATACTCAGGCCCAATAATTTAAATGACTAGTAATTTTTACCATGTCAAAACTATATATTTTATTAGATTACATGTGTTAAATTTTTTCTCATCACTACAAGTTCAACAATGGAAAATTTTTAAAAAAGAAATTAATAAGCAACAAAGGTAACAGTAAATCAGTATTAACAACCTGATAGGTATTGTTGAACACATTTTTTCATGGTTATAGAACATGTATATAAACACATTTATATAGTAGTTTCTTTTATTTTTACTAAAGTGTGTTTGACTACAAGTTTCTCAGAAACTTGTGTTTTTTCACTTAACATACCATATTAACACAAAATGATAAACATATTGATCTTCTAACTCAATACATGTATCTCATTCTTAAAGATTCCACATTTTTCAGTATCACAGTTTATTTGTCCTTTCTCCCATTGGTTAATATCCAAGTTCTTTTCAATATCTCCTAACACATACATGTAAGGAATAGTGCAGTAAACTTCTTTGTTTTATAATCATCCATTTACATATAGAATATCCAAAAGTGAGGCACACATTATATGTATATTTCTTTTTATTGTGATTTGCATGAAAGAGCAAATTGGTCTTCCACTCAACAATTCATACACATTTTGATTTGTGACATTGACTGCAATCACCATGATGTAACAGTACTCTTCTGAGTAACGTACTCTCTCTCTCCCTGTTTTCTGAGCTTTATCCCTGGGACTATGTGTGATCTCATATGTATGGTGGTTCTAAGGAATGGATACCTTCCTGGAGTTTTAGTTCACCTTATAGGCCTGATATTTGGTTGAAAGTTGAGCCACTGAGGTGAGGTCAGTTCCATACCTGAAGGGTGTCTAAGGGCCATACTCTCGGAGGTTCCACCAGTCTCTGTCAGACCAGTAAGTCTGGTCTTTCTTCATCATTTTGAGTTTTGTTTCACAATTTCCTCCCACTCTCTCCAGGACCTCCCATTATTATCCATTTCAGAGTGGTCAGCAGCAGGAGCCAGGCACCACCATCTAATTCTTCTAGTTTCAGGATTTTGGAGACTAGGGTTCATGTGGCCCATTAGTCCTTTGGACTAGTTGGTCCCATGTTTGATTTTTTTCACTCTTCTGTGCTCCACATGGAGAGAGACCAATAGTTGCACCTTAGATGGCTGCTCACAAGCTTTTAAACCCTGGTTGCTACTCACCCAAGTAGGATGTCAAACATTGTCTGTGGACTATGTTATGCTGATTTACCTTGATATCCCCAACACTATGATCCTGAGCCCCCAGGTCCAGTGTCTCCTTCCCTCAAGGTGTTTTATTTGGGCTAAGAAGTTCTCATAAAAGTGCCTCCTATATTCATTGATATATTTAAAGCACATATAAATAATATGTAGCAATATCCTCTGTTAAACCTATAGATATTTGTTGTTGTAGACCTATTCACCTTCCCAGTCCTGTTCAGCTTGAGTGTCTGTCTATGTATCTACTTGTAGATTATTTTTTATTACTGTTATTGTATGAATAGTACCTGCCTTTGTTATCTCTGGTGGCATAGTGCCTAAGGGATTTGACTACTAGCCAGAAGCCTGGTGATTCAAACCCACCAGCCACTCCTCAGAAGGAAGGTTGGGCAATCTACTTCTGTAGAGATAAAAAAAAAAAAAAAACATTGCCCTTGAGTCGGATCTGGCTCATAGTGACCCCTCCTTGCGTTTCTGAGGCAGTATCACTACTGAAGTAGATTGCCCAACCTGCCTTCCGAGGAGTGGCTGGTGGATTTGAAATGCCAGCCCTCTGGTTAGCAGTCAAATGCCTTAGGCACTACGCCACCAGAGCTCCCTCAGAAACCCAAGGAGGGGTCACTATGAGTCAGGACTGACTCAATGGCAGTGAGTTTGTTTTTTTGGTTTGTTGTCTTTAACTGTTGAGCACCTCCTTGTGTCTTCCTTTGCCTTGTCACGTTGTGCTGACCTCCCCCTTATTGTACATAGCAATTCCCTTCACCCAAGTTAGTGTGTCTACCCTCTCGTCAGTGGCTTACCCTCCTTTCCTCTCCCACCCCTGGTAACCTTCAAAGAATGCTTCTTTCTGTGAGTGCATATTTTACTGACTTTTATATTAATGGTCTTATGCAATATATTCTGGTAGTGTAGTGCCTAAGGCACTTGACTGCTAACCAGAAGGCTGGCAGTTCAAACCCACCAGCCACTCCTCGGAAGGAAGATGGGGCAATCTACTTCCGTAGTGATACTGCCTCAGAAACCCAAAGAGAGGTCGCTGTGAGTCAGATCCGACTCAAGGGCACATAACAATAACAACAACATACATTATTTGTCTTTTTGTGATTAACTAATTTTGCTTACCATAATGTCCTTCAGATTCATCCATGCTATGAGTTGTTTCACAAATTCATCATTATTTACATATGTATTTTTTAAGTTTAATGCATATCTCTAAGTTAGTTTCCAGAAAGGTAGCAGCAGGGCAGCAGGACATCTGCATATTTTCTGGCCATGGGAAGGAGGGTCTCTTCATTTCATCAGTCTCATCAATTTCTTAAGGTTTTTTTTTTTTTTTTTTTTGCCAATTTGAAAAGCAAGAAAGGGTTTTTATCTTTCTCTGACAGTAAGGTCAAGAATATTTTTATATCATGGCTACCACTGGGGATTTGTGTGTTATGATTTTTTTGTTCATATTTTATATTTTTACTGTGTCTCTTATCTCTTCGTAGAAGTTTCAAGAGTATACCTCCAGGTCCTTTAAAAACTCATCTGTTCATCTTCATTACTGTCCTTATCATTATTCAATTAAGTCATTAATTTCCTGAAGGGCAAAGGAAATGATGCAATCAAATTTTATTTCAGTTGTCTAAGTGAAGCTTAAAATTTGAAAATTCTAACTACTGGATTTGTGAGATTAATGACAGATATAGGGTGGTTTCTCAGAACAAAGAAATTTGAAACATGAACAAACTTAAATTTAGAGGCAGATGAATCAGCAGAGTTGACTTAATGTTTCCTGAATTAACCACAGTGAACACTTTTTTTCAATATTTAATATTATTTCACATCAACATCTTTCTGTTTTTTTTTTTTTTTTTTTAATAGGGAAGATGTAAGAACAGCAAACGTAATTGCTGCCGAAGCTGTAACCTGCCTTGTGATCGACAGAGAGTAAGTGCATTCCTTTATTATGTGTATTGAACATGATATCAGTGACATACATAATTTCCTGAAATTAAAAATCATTTTATAGAGCTCTTAATACTTCTTCCATATCATTTTGTTTTAAAATGAGTTCTACATATGATTTCCGTCCCTTGGTCTTGTAGAAGTGACTAGCTCTGTCACATTCTAGCTTTGTGTTCTTCAACAAGGTACTTAATCACTATAAGCTTCACCTTAGCTTGTTTGTAAAATAAGGATAACACATATAACATAGGAATGTTGTGAGGATTAATGAGACCATGTGATGAAGCATTTGACCAAGTGCTTTAACTCAGTAGGCACTCAACAAATGCAGTATATATCTATATATCTATATATCTATATCTATATATAGATATATGTTTTTAGAATTACAGTTATTACTATTATTATTAGGATTAAGCATATTTTAGTGAGCTCCTGTATTCCTCCATCTCAAGCTTCCTACCATATAAGTATTTAGGCAAAGTACTTTTGGAGTAAGCCTCAGTTCTAGACATACACAGATATTTAGGGCCATCAAAAGTTTGTTCAAGGATGCCCTACCCTGTTTCTTCCCTGTGCTTTGGCTTAATATTTACATTCCCTGAATTCTTTATTGGTTACCAAAAAACAAACCAAACTCACTGCCATCGAGTTGAATCTGACTCATAGCAACACCTACTTGAGTTTCTGGGGTGATATCAGTATAGAAGTAGATTGCTCAATCTTGCTTCCAAGGAGTGGCTGGTGGGTTTGAACTACCAGGCTTCTGGTTAGCAGTCAAATGCCTTAGGGACCAGGCCACTACAAATATCAGATCATTGACTTACAAAGAGTACTGTTAAAATGTATGTGCACTATCTGGGAGTACACCATCATTTTCCTCATTGCAATGTATATAGATAAGTTTATCAGAAGTGCTAAGTGAAGGGCTCAAGGAAACGAATTGTAAAACATACTTTTTAGTACAGCTTTTTCAACTGGAATAGATCATGTTTGTGTAGAATGAAATTGAGGCCAGAGATGTTCACCCTACAATGCTGGAGTGGAATGCTGAACTCAGGGGCTCTGGTAGGAGAAGGATCCATTTGAATCACAGGTATCACTGTTGGAGACCCCTTTATGCTGAATCTCTAGGACCAGAGTAGTAAAAAGCTGTAGAATGATAGGGATATCCATGCATACCTCCTAAAAAGATATTTTTTTGTCTAACTTCTGGAAACAATGACCTCCCATTTATTTCTTCTATTCAATTAACATTTTACTAAGGCGCTCTGGTAGCATAGTGCCTAGGGCATTTGAATGCTAACCAAAAGGCTGGCAGTTAAAACCCACCAGCCACTCCTTGGAAGGAAGGTTGGGCAATCTACTTCCACAGTAATACTGCCTTGGAAACCCAAGGAGGGGTCACTATGAGTCGGGTCTGACTTGATGACACATAGCAACAACATGTACAAAAGTATTGTCCTAGGATCTGTGAGAAGAAATGAAGGAAAAGCATAGATTCTTGTTTGGAGAGTTAGATTTTAATAGAGCATATGTGGCATATATACAAGTAACTATCATGCAAGGTAGAAGGTAAGAAATATCCAGAATATAATTTTATGCTATGTCCAGCAAAGGAAATGCCTACTTCTAACTGTAGATAATCAGGTTAAGTATTCATGGGAGAAAAAAATGGAATTGTTAGCTGGTTCTGGACATACTAGAAGAGCAGTACAAATAGATAAATTAGCATAAGCAACACAAGAAGCTAAAAGCCCATTCAACTGCCAAATGGCAGCTTTGTAAAGAAAGTAAGGAAATAAATTCACCAACATGTTGGGGCAGGTTCATGGAAAACCATGAATGTTGAAGTAAGGATAACTGACATTTTAATGCAGTGAAATGTTATTATTTGAACTGTATTAAGTAAACTAATTTGACAGTGCTCTGTAAGAGTGAGGGATTAGAGGCAAGTATCTAGTTAGATTAATCTAAATCTCATTGGTGCTCATGAGACCCTTCACAGGAGAAATGCAAAAGAATGAAGAGTTACTATCAAAGGGCTTAACTTGTGACTGAAAATAAGAGCAAAGGAGAGAATAGGAATGTAGTCATGACTGAGAAGATCTAGAAGGACTACAGAAGAGGAAATGTTTTGGAAGGAATGATGGTATTCCACTAGAGACAGAATGAATTTAACTTACAGTTTGGACACCCAAGAGTAAGAGCCTTGCAGGAGGTTGGAATGTGGAACAGAAACTCTTGATACATAAACTGCAAAATTGCCTGTATGGAGTTAATAGGTGAAATCATGAGACTCAATAGAATTACACAAAAGAGGAGAAAAGAGAGAAGGACCAAGTTTAGAATTTGGGGAAATTCTATAGCGACCCCTCCTTGGGTTTCCTAGGTGGTATCACTACAGAAGTAGATTGCCCAGTCTTCCTTCCAAGGAGTGTCTGGTAGATTTGAACTGCCAGCCTTTTGGTTAGCAGTCAAATGCCTTAGGCACTACACCACCAGAGCTCCCAATAGTCAGACAGGGGAAGAAAAATGAGTGAAGGAAATTGAGAGGTTAGCAATTACAGCAGTGTGTAAAACCTCATGAAAAAAGAAGAGAACATTTCAAGAGAAATCGAACAATCAGCAGTGTTAGATGCAAGAGTGAAGCTAAGAGTCATAAAGATAGAAAAAAGTCAATAAGTTTAGTAACCTGGAAGAAAATAGATTTTTTTATTATTATTTTTTAAGAGTTTGTTTTACATTCAACATTACTTGTACATTTAGTTTCACAGGAAGAAGTTTGATTAAAGTGGTGAGAATGTAATCCAGGTTACAAGGAGGGGCACTCTCAAGTTGAAGAGAGAGGATGTACCTATCAAAGCATTTTTGTCCTCTTAGAGTTATTAAAGGATTTCATACAAGGAGTGACAAGATCAGAAAAAAGGAAATTATACTTAAGTATGGCTTAAGATAACAGGCAAAAAGAATGCAGAATGGACAGTAAGGAAGTGAGACCCTGAAGCCAAAGAGTTCTTCTTTCAAACCATTTAGTAAGAAAGGGAAAAAAAGAAAGAAGAAGGGAGCATGAGGCATTCGTAGGGTCTTAGACAGTTTCATGAGAATGGGATATACAAGTATCCTGGAAGATTAAGCAAAGGAAATATTTGATGGAAATAAGGCCACAGAGGAGGCAACTTATGGCAAATGAAATGGTTACTAGGTTAATATACACTCTTTTACTTTTTTGAAAATGACAGGAAAGAGGAGAAATGCTGAGGTGTAGATTGCAACAGGCATTCTGGTATGCAGTAGTTAAAGCACTTTGCTACTGACCAAAAAGGTCAATAGTTTGAACCCACCTGCACTTCACAGGAGAGAGATTTGGTAGCCTGCTTCCATAAAGATTGCAGCCTTGGAAACCCTTTGGGGCAGTTCTCCTCTGTCCTATAGGGTCGCTATGAGTTGTAATTGATTCAGTGGCAGTGGATTTGGTTTGGGTTAGATAGGAAAGTTAAAACCAAAAAAAACCAAACTCATTGCCATTGAGTCATTCCTGACTCATAGCGACCCCTCCTTGGGTTTCCAAGATGATATCTCTATGGAAGTAGATTGCTCATTCTTCCTTCCGAGGAGTGGCTGGTGGGTTTGAACCACCAGCCTTCTGGTTAGCAGTCACATGTCTTAGGCACTACACCACCAGAGCTAGATGGTTTTAATTTTTCCTCTATAGCTTGGGATGAAAAAATATTATAAAGGGAAGAGTGAGAGTGGGGTTAGGGGTTTAGGGGTTGCCAGGTGATTGGGGGAAGTAGTTCTAGCATATTATATCACTACAGTGCTTTATAATTTGTAAGTTTTCACATGCATGGTATCCAAACTGGAAAGTTGATAAGGCATTTTACAGAAGAGGAAACTAAAGCCCATAGAGGCTTAATAACTTTATAGGGTTTTATGCTAAATGATAGAGGTCATCTAGTCGAGCTCCTTCATTTTAGTAAACTGAGGTCCTAAGAGAACCAGCAGCATCAAATAGTGCCACAAACAGATTTTTGTCCTCACCCTCATTTTCTCTTTTTCAAGCCCAAGCATATATAGGAGCTCTGGTGGCATAGTACCTAGGGCATTTGAGTGCTAACCAGAGGCTGGCAGTTCGAACCCACCAGCCACTCCTCAGAAAGAAGACTGGGCAATCTATTTCAATAGTGATACCACCTCAGAAACCCAAGGAGGGGTTGCTATGAGTCGGATCCGACTCAGTGTCAGTGAGTTTGGTTTTGGTTTTAGTAAGCATATATAGTATGCAATGGAAAAGGCATTGGCTTTGCAAAATCAAATAAATAAATAAATAAGCTGAGTATTTTATTCTTGACTGCACTATTTTTATGATACTCTGGGCAAAAACAACTCACTGCCATCAAGTCAATTTCAACTCATAGTGACCTCCATTGGGTTTCCAAAGCCATACATCTTTACAGAAGTAGATTTCCCTATCTTTTATCCGTGGTGTGGCTGATGGATTTGAACCACCAACCTTCTGGTTAGTAAGCAGATGCCTCAGGCACTGTGCCACCAGAGCTCCTATACTATGGGCAAGGTACTTTAATTTCAAATATCAGATTTCCTACCTGCAAAATGGGGTAATATGACTGGGAGCTCTCATGGCATAGTGCCTAAGGCATTTGACTGCCATCCAGAAGGCTGACAGTTCATACCCACCAGCCACTCCTTAGAAGGAAAGTTGGGCAATCTACTTCCATAGTGATACCACCTCGGAAACCCAAGGAGGGATCGCTCTGAGTTGGATCCGACTCAGTGGCAGTGAGTTTGGTTCTTGGTAAGACTTTCTTTGAGAATCAAACAATTTGGCATATGGAAAGGCCCATACATAGAACAAGTCATGTAGTAAGCACTCAATAAATGTGCCCTTCCTTTTTTTTACAGAAGACATAGGATTACCAGAGATGTAGCAACTTTTCTTTATAATCAGGACAAGTCTA